ATATATATATGTACTGTATTGTTTTGCCTTCAGGTTTCAGAATGTCAGCTGATGAAATCTGCCCACAGAGCCCAAAGTTGTGACTCATAAAACAAGCTAACTTGGTTTTATGTTGCAAAAAGTGTAAACTGAAGACTTGTGTTCATTTAAACTGGCTTTAATGCCCATCACTTTTAACTTAAAGTGTCTGTGACATACCTATCCATCGAATACAAAAAGCCAAAGAGAACACATTTTTATATAAGAAACCTTGCATAAAACATGATTTTACCCATTTTGTCACATAACTGCATATTTTCTTTTGAACTTGGCTCAGCCAAAGTGAAACAGGAAGTGACATCAAAGGGGACCTCTTTAAGAAAGAAAACTCTGTAATCTTTTATTGAAACAATATTATTTGAACTGACTCATCTTCATCTTTCTGAAAGTGACTCAAAATAATCTAAAGAAACGTCAGATTGTTCTCTACAGTCTGTGTTAGCCATTTTATCAACGCTCTGTTTACATGCAGACATACCTCTTTGACATCACTTCCTGTTACTGAACAAGCAAATATCTCAACAACCATTCACAGCAGTGGGAAATTATTTTTGCTCTATGTTATTAATGTTATCTTTCAAAAAAAGCCTTTAAATTTATTTTAAAAATTTCGTGTCACAGGCACTTTAATTAGTCTTTTGCTCAGCGGCGTAGCTCTCTCTGAAGATTAACCTCCTGACCTTTCGTTCCTTCACAGGAGCGAGAAGAAAAGCTGCGGCTTCAGGCTCAGATCAAGAGGCTCTGGGAGGACAACCAGAGACTGCAGGAGGAGTCCCAGACCTCTGCTGCCAAGCTCAAGAAGTTCACTGAGTGGGTCTTCAACACCATCGACATGAACTGACCTCCCACTCACACACACATACACACACACACACACAAAACTCATCAGCACACAGTCTGGGCGAAGAGGCGGTGGGAGGGGGGGTTGAGCTGAGACTTCAGGATGTTAAACCTTTTCCACGACCCTCCACTGGCCCCGGACATGAGTTGGAAATATTACTACCATCCATTTGAAGGTGGAATTTAGACTATGAAGGACTCATTTCTACTCACCAACTCCCCTCCTATGTTCCAAAATGAAGGATCAGTTCTTCGTTCCTGCCGCCTCTGCTCAGCAGAGGTGCTTCTCTTCAAACACCTGACCTTCTACGGTTCGATTTCTGCCTTTTTTTTTCTTCCCGCGACTTTGAAACGACGTCCAGCTGCTCTGAAAGGGGACAAAAGTCTTTTGTGCCAAATCAAAGCCGCCTCAGCGTGGTGTCACTCAGGCATCCCGGGGATACCACACACACACACGCACACACACACACAGGTACGCAACAGACCTGCTTGTCTAGCAGTCAAGCGTTTGTTGGAGCACAAACCAGTCAAGATATATATAAAAACAAAGCCACATCACCTTCATGTAAATGAATGAAACTAAATTAGCTCCTGTGTTTTTTAGACTGTTTAAAGGAACTGGACATCCAGCCTCACCTGTTTTCCTCCTCTATAATCTGGATTACATCTTTTCTGGCTCAAAGCGAACGAGGAGCGTATTTAAAAGCCATCGGCAAGCAGTGCCATAAAACAATCCGGTTCTTTGGTCCGTCTCGGTTTTTAAAGCAATAGAAAGAAGTCAGGACTCCTGGCTTTCCCTCGGAACAGGGAGAGTTATCTCTGAGAAGAAACTGGGAGTGGAAAAAGATAATCTGGAGGGTACACCAATCTGCTGCACTAGAGCCTTCCACCTTCTCCACTGAACATCAGGCTCAGGGGGGACGAAGGAAAATAAGGACTCGTCATCATCATCATCATCACACTGCCTGGAGTACAGACAGAGACGGCTGATAATAAACCACAAGGACAATTTTAGGTGGTCTTTTTACTCCCAGGTTTATTTATTTCCTTGTATTATATTTCCAATAAATGAGTTGTTCTATTCGTACAGTACAACTGACAGTGTTTAGTTCTTTAAGGCTAATGGTCACTAGCGATATCATTTACCTGGCTTTCTTTCTTAATTCTACCTAAAGCCTGACTAATATGCTTTTTATTCTGTATTTTGTTGTATTTCGTGGTGCCCGAGCCTGCTGTCGTGTTGCTTACAGTGCCCTCTAGTGGTGACCAGTGGAAGTGTCATGCTTTGTAACTGTGCTGCCTGTCGGTCTGTATTTTATCCCCATTATCAGCCGCGAGGCCACACAAACATTCAGAACAGCAGCGAGAATCAGGAGCCAGCTTTTTTTAGAGACAATCAAAGGTAGGTTTTTAATAAAATAATAAGAGGAGCAGACGTAGTCGGCATGTGTGTGTGTGGATGTTGTTTGTACAGAACATCTACAGTTTTCCTCAGGTTCGGTTTTTAGGATAAAAAAGAGATAGTTAGAAAGTTGAGAAGAAAATTGCACATTATAATAAATTAGAGAAGTAGAGAGAGCTGCAGTGCGTGCCAAATCCGTGACCAAGTGTTGTCATAGTGTGAATGTACATTAGTGTCTCCAGCCGTGCCTACAGTCACATGTTTTGGTGGTTTCCTGGCAGGCAGAGCAGGGCCGTGCCTTTGAAACAGCACCCAGGAGCAGAGAAGAGGAAGAGCATCTTCATCTTCACCCTGAGAGATGAGCACACCTGTTACAGCGCCGCACACCTGTTCTTAGGCAGTTTCAAACATTGGTTTACTGTGAAGCAACGGCTTCATGCGTTTAGTGGGAAACGTGGGGAAACGGTGTGTGTGAAGTGTTTGGATATGTGTGCCTTTGCATTAACCACATGAGTGTTTTTTAGATCCCTGTCAGTTCTTTACAAATTATTTTTCTATTCAAGTGTTTCCCCCAAGACAACAAGCAGGTTTCTACTGATTCAAAAGTCACAGAATGTTTGGATTCTAATGGAGGACATGTTTCTGACCCGTACGGTTCTTTTAAAAGCTTAAAGCTGCTCATTGCAACGCCCCTAAAGACCAGTGGAAAACTCACAGAAAAAAATAAACTATTTTTATTCTCATGTGTCCTCAAACTACAAATCATAGAACCAACCAGAAAAACTGTTTAAGATGAAGAAATTAGAATTTTATCTGGAACTGAATAATCTTTATGTTGTTTGCAGTGAGTACCTTTTATAGTTTGTGTTTAAATCCCTGCTGCATATTTCACTAATCAGCCCCAAGAAACGTGAATGTAAAGTGAAAACAAGCTGATGTTTGCTGCTTTTTTTTCCCCTCACTAATCTCTGCTGTTTTGCAGAGATGTGTTTTGGACTTATGGTTCTGTTTTAGGAATCTTTTCTTATTTTATTTTTTTGCTTGTTTGGGTTGGTTACACCTGCAGACAGTTTCCAAAATATGAAAAACTGAATATATTTACAGAAGATGAGTCATCCAGGATTAGATTTAACTCTTTCATTTGGTTGCCTTGAACACAACAATGCTTAAATTGAAGTTTTAAGTCCACTGAAGGCACCATTTTATATATTAAAAAAAGGTTTGTTTTTCTCATGGAAGTCTGACTGAAAGGGCACTGCAGATATTAAAGTGTCATAAAGCATTTTATTTTAAATTTGTGAATATTGTATTCATTTCCAGTTCATTTAGCTGCTTTTTGTTTTGTTTTGACAGAAAAATATCAAAAATGTGAATGTTAAGATGTTCAAAAAATTCTTTTTTTTTTTTTTGTAAAAAAAATTGTTCTTGAGATATTTTGCACAGTGTTCAGTATAACAGTATGCTAGTTTTGGATATGAGAAGGGTGGTTTTTAGTCCTGTGCAATCCTGTTTAGATGTTTCCCTGCCAGGATCTAATTCACTCCATAAAAAGCCTGACTTCTCGTCAGGCGTCACTCATCAGATACGAATCAAAAACTAGAGGAGCAGCTGGTGAGGTCAGCAGGAGAGCTCAGCTGTGTCCTGATGTGTTGGCTTCTGACTGAACACAGAACTCACAGAGGACCAGTAGTGTTACAGGATAGAAAATACTGTTTACATCCCAGATTCACTGTCTTTGTAAGATGTATAAAAAACAGTATTAAAGTTTCTGAAATAAATGCTGTCTAAGTTTCATGTGTTCTCTTTTTCTCAGTGATAATAACTGGAGTGGGAGTGGACTTGTCTGTGTCCTGCAGGTCTCGTCTGATTGGATCTTCTGTGAGGAGGACTGGGACCTGACCCGGCCGCCTCCTCTCACGGATCCATCTGATTGGATTTTAGTGGCTCCCACAGCCCGAGCCAGAACCACTGCACCTTCATGATCTACATGAAATGATACTGTGGATTCTTTTTTAAAGATAACACAGTACAAAGGTATTTATTTAGTTATATTTTAGCAATAATAAACTTTTGATGTCTTTAAACTAAAGTCAAGCGCAGAGATTTGTTCTTTTACCATGTTTGACCTGATTATTTTGTTTTCAAATGACAAACTTAGCTATATTTTGGTAGATATGTACAAACAGCTGACATTATGTACTGTATCTAAAAGTATCCAGTTTGTGGTTAAACCTTCTACACCTGATTTATTTTATAAAGTATTTGAGCCATGTTCATTTTTCTTGTAATTTTTGACATTTTTTAATGTTTCTCTTCATGACGGGGTCTGCAGCAATCTTCATCTCACTGAGTAGAGGGTCTGCCTTGGATCTTTAATGGCAGAAAAGATTCAGATCTTAATTTTGTTGTAAGAATTATTATTAATCTTATTGATCAGCGTGGTTTGGATCCTTGTCTTGTTTAAAAACCTCAGTGCTGATTAAAATCCAGTTTTTACTGTTTTTGTTCCAGTGAGCAGAATTTAAAGAATAATAAATACTTTGATATCCGACCTGATGCATCTCAGTAATCCAGGTAAAAAATCAAAAAGAAAAACATAGTATAGGTCTTCTGGACGGGTTCTTCCCTAATGAAACGTTTCGTCTCTCCTCCAAGAGACTTCTTCAGTCTGAGAGTTTCAGGCAAAATTCAGGCTTTTAAGCCCTGCCTCCATGTGACTGATACTCACATCACATGGCTATCGTTGACACCTAATTAACGCCTATTGTTAACAGGGGGTGGAGTGATACTGGCAATAGCCGCACTGTAGGAGGGGGACAACTGAAAATGGAGGCCTCCACCTCTGTTTAATGATGGATGGTCTTTCTTCACAAAAATGGCTTCTTTTACTCCTCTCTCAAACCAACGTTCCTCTCTATCAAGAATGAGAACATCCTCATCTCTGAAAGAGTGACCGCTGGCCTGTAAATGAGTGAAAACTGCAGAGTTCTGGCCACTCGGTTTCGGATTGAGGACGGTTGGAAACTGGCGTGTATCGTAAGCCCACCCACACAGACCAATATTTGCGTTTTGACTCCCACCACCCACTGGAACACAAGTTAGGAGTGATCAGGACTCTGTACCACAGAGCAGACAGTGTCCCTACAAACCCAGGAGCCAGGCAGAAAGAGAAATCACACACACGACAGGCCCTGGAGCAGTGTGGTCATCCTGACTGGGCTTTCCTGAAAGCAGACAGGAAACACAGACAGGATTCCATGCAACCTTCAGGTGAAAATGAAGACCCCAAACCCAGACCCAAACCAGTGGTTATTCCGTATGTTGCGGGTGTTTCGGAGAAAATGAGACGTTTATTTTCTAAACATGATGTCCCAGTAGCTTTCAAACCCCAAAACACATTACGGCAAAGGCTGGTTCAACCCAAAGATCCGGTGCCCCGGCACAAACAGAGCAATGTTGTATATGCTGTGAAGTGCCAGGAGGACTGCGACCAGTTATACATCGGGGAAACAAAGCAACCACTGTTCAAAAGAATGTCCCAACACAGACGAGCTACATCTAATGGCCAGAACTCTGCAGTTTTCACTCATTTACAGGCCAGCGGTCACTCTTTCAGAGATGAGGATGTTCTCATTCTTGATAGAGAGGAACGTTGGTTTGAGAGAGGAGTAAAAGAAGCCATTTTTGTGAAGAAAGACCATCCATCATTAAACAGAGGTGGAGGCCCCCGTTTTCAGTTGTCCCCCTCCTACAGTGCTGCTATTGCCAGTATCACTCCACCCCCTGTTAACAATAGGTGTTAATTAGGTGTCAACGATAGCCATGTGATGTGAGTATCAGTCACATGGAGGCAGGGCTTAAAAGCCTGAATTTAGCCTGAAACTCTCAGACTGAAGAAGTCTCTTGGAGGAGAGACGAAACGTTTCATTAGAGAAGAACCCGTCCAGAAGACCTATACTATTTTTTTCTTTTTAAATACTTTGATAGATTTCTGTTTAATTTCACATCTTATTGCCCTTCTGATAAATTCAACATTATTTATACAATAAAGTAAGATTATCTTAAATATCTCAGAATTAATACCTGATTAGAAACTTAAACTTATAACAGCATTTTATTTTATTATGAACTTGGACATCTCTTAATCACGCTTTCATATCTGAAAGACTTAACATCTTGTTATTTTTATATTATAATTATCAGTCATAATTCTGAGAACATATTTTGCAAATAAGCAATCTTTTTATTTTATTCTGAGCTGATCGAAATTGAGTGCATTAAAAAACTAAAAAAATTTATTACATTTATTTACTAATATATTTAATTGTAGTTACATTGTTAGCTACACACCACCAGCCCCACCCCCATCAAACACAACAGGAAACACAATCAGTGTAAAGAATTGTGCTTTGTTTATGATTACACTGTTGGATGTAAATATAAGTATTCATTTGGGATAAGAATACACACAATAAATATGCAGTCACCCTAAAATACCATGTTTTTTCCCCTTTTAAAAAAAAAAACCTCCCATAGTGGTGTGTTGCTGCTCTGCGACTGTTGTGTAACACTGAAAACTTAAAATCTCAACAAACAAAAAAACCCATAATTATGCTTGATTTGACTCTATTTCTCAGACTGGTGTGAATATTAAGTTAAGTTCAAGCCATTATTATCATCACAATGATGATATAGTTCAGCTTGAACATTTATGATTGCAAGTGGCCGCAGAGATTTTTAAGCTTTACATAAAAACACACAATCACTTCTAATAAACGCTCTAAATAAACCTGTTTACTCTAAATAAACTGACGGCTAATATCCGAGGCAGAGCTGTTTCAAGACAAAATAACAAAATAAAAATACTGTAACAGAAAAAGAGTAAAAAATTATTTAACTGATAAGAAAAGTACTTCAGTAAAAGTTATAAAACTACTCTAAGTAATCAGAAAAGTAAAAGTACTTTTACACACACACTAAGAAAGAAGTGTTGAATTTACTTAACTAAGTTATGTCAACTGGTTCCACTTGAGTAAATGTAAAGACATTGACACATTTCATTTAAATAAAACGTGTCAATTTCTCAACTTAGTTTACTGGAACCAGTTGACATGAAGTAAATTCACCATTAAAGTTTTTAAAGTTCATAAACGACTCGTTTCATGACGAGTTCAGTCATATTTAAATTTGTAGAGAGGGGCGTTATGTTTTAAAGGAAAAAGTAAAAGTGTCATTTTAGTGCTTTTAAATGTAACAAAATAAAAAAAACTACACATCCTCAAAAATAACTACTTAAATATTGTAAGGAAGTAAATGTATTTCGTTACTACACTTAGAGGTGTGCTGTCCTGCATATTTTACCTGTTTTCCTGCTCCTACTCACCTGATTCACCGACTGAATTACCTCCGAGTTCTGCAAACGTTTGTAAATCATTGTTCAGTCAGGCAGAGCCGTTCACCAAGCTACTAAATGTTTCAACAAAAATAAAAAGGGGAAACAAATAAATAAATAAATAAAAACTAAAAGAAGAAGCCAGAAGTCTCTCTGTACGAACTTTACCTAAAAGTAAAAGTGATGTTTAAGCAAAAATCTAAACTTGAGGTTTAACAAACCAGATGTTTGTTTAGCTATCTCTGTTTGCTTCATTACAGTACTTACATCATTTTTTGAGGACCTTTTTTTAATGGTAACGTTTACTTTTATTTTATTACATTCAAAACCTGCTTAATTTTAAAATATAACACTTCATTGTGTGCTAAAAATGTAAATATGACCAGAACTGTTTTTATTTAAATAGTGTTGGAAGTCAACCCAGAAAATATTTCTGTTTTTGGAAGTAAAGTCAAATGTTTTTGTTGGAACTGGTAAACCTCTCCAAGTTTTTTATTTTATATTTTATATTTTTTATTTACTGCATTAAGAACCTCCTCCTCAGGAACAACTCTGGCATTATTTATTTATTTTGTTGATTTTAACGCCAAAGCAGCTATAAATCTAATAAAAAGGTTCTGCTTTCAGCTGTGATATGTGCTGAAATCACATGACTGTTTTCAATTTAAATCAGTAAAATCAACAAAATAAAAGATCTGTGTTTATAACACTGGTCGAAAAAAATCCAACAACAAGAAATGTGATATTGTAACATATTAGTAACTAATTGCGTTTATAATAAATCATAAAGCCACATGATATTATTGTGCATTTCAAACCTGGTATTCCTGCTAACTGATGGCTACAACGCAGCAGCATCATATGGAGTCTGCTGACTCTTTCTCCTGTGTTGCATGTGGACCCTCGGTGCTTTTATCCCACTCAGTCCTGCAGCCCACACAAACGCCTTCATGTCTCTGTGCAGCTCTCACTTCTCATCAAGCACTCAAGAAGGGAGACAGAGAAAGCAGAGCTGTTTTGTTCTTTAGACCCGGAGCGTTGTTGTTGTTGTTGTTGTTCATGTGATTGGAGGTGTGAGCTGTGCCTCTGTTTGCTCTCTTCTTGCAGCAGAAACATATATATTTTAATTACAGTAACGTTGGATTTATTTTTCTAGTTTTTTAATATCTTTTCTTTGTTAATTTCACCCCAAATTCCACCTTCTTTGCACTTTCCTTCACATTTGGACCACAGGGTTTGGATTTTACTTGGAAATAAAATCCAGCAAATAAAGCTGATAACGGTTCGTGTTTAATGTTAGGATGAGCATCATCGCCACACATTTGGAGTCAGTTCCTGTGCACTAAGTTCTCCCCAAGGCTCTGGATCTTGTGACAGATCGATCGC